TGAAATTCCGAGCATCTGACGGATGCTGGTCAGGTAAGTTAGTTCCGACGAGAACAAGGAAGCGGGTTTCGTTCCGATGGGGTAACCCTGCTATTTTTCTTCGCCGGGTTATGAAGAATCCCCCTTCAACAGTGATGGACTTCTCTCGTACCCTCGACCCCGACGACCGTCACCCGTACCCACATTGGGCGTCGCCAATCAAGGGCATCATGTTTACTCATCCGCCGATGTTTTTATCTTTGTTTTGAAAAATAAGATACACTCAACTCGGGTTCAGAGAAAAAAAAATCGAATCAACTTGCTGAATAAATCAGTGGATGTAATGTGCCATGAAATTGTCCGGAGCTTGCATCATTCTCAAAAAATGTTAGCTGTTTTACCAAAAAAGTGACCCGTGAAATTAACCACGAACACCCACAAGAACTCGTAGGATTCAAAATTATTCTTTACCTTTTGGCTTTCAAAGGTATAAAATAGAATATTCTTCGTAAACTTGAATGATTTTCTTTAAAGTTCAAAACGTTTCCATTTTATTTAAAGAGAAAGGCCATCCTAATTCAAAATTTTAAGTGTTTTTACTGAAGCTGCTCTACGAAAAAAAAAAGATAAATTATAAATTAAAGCCAGGAACACCCAGAAGAGCTCGTTCGATTGAATATAATTTTTAAACTTTGTATTTTGGAGATGCAGTATCAAATTTGAGGTTCTAAGAAAATTAAAAATCTTTCATTAGGATGTGTGGGTGTGTGTAGCTTTCAAAAAATTTAGGATAGGAGAAAATGAGTAAAGTATTTGTTTGAATTTCAAAAGATCAGACCCGAATTTCGTGTCGCAAACAAATCTTAAACCTGGAAGCTTCCGAAAATAAGAAAAAAAGTCTGGAAGCGTTCCGGATTTTCTCCAACATTTTTTATTCGTAAGTGGCCTATTTTTTTTTTCATTCTTTCCAGAAACCCTAGCCAAAATGTAGGAGTGACATATTGTGCAAATACGGAAAACGCTTCCTTTCATTTTACAAAGAGAACATGATAAAAAAAAAAGACGGGCTTACTGCGGTTCGAGGTTCTAATATATCCAAAATACATTAAAAATATGTTTAACTCAGAATCTTCGATGATGCTAGGATTCTAATTCTACTGAGGCCCACCGACAACGATTTAATTGTCTTGGATAAACAGTACAGAACCTCGAACCGTAAAGATCTTGAAAATTTTTCAGGCGAACTTTTTGAATACTGTGCTGTTTTTTTTTTTACTTGATTTTATCTCCGGTCCAACTAGGGCATGATTTCACTCCTTTGCGAGTACAATATCAACCCAGCACTAGCCAAGATAATATAAATTTGGCAAATATACGGTACTGTAGTTGAAATGATTCGGCGGGTTGCGTCACGAACCCTCCATAATTAATCATGAAAATGAAGCTTAGTCCCTGAAATACCCCACTCTTCAGAGTCTAACATTCACACTTGAAACACACTCAGCAGGATTTTGAAAATACTGTACTGTGATTTCTCTTTCTCTAAAAATCCCTTCACGCGGGGATGATAGCCGACGACGTAAATATACCCGTACGCCGCAGTTGCCAGTCTTCTTTCCCCGCGTCGACGAGGCGAGTGGACGTAATCCATTCATGATTAAAAAAAAGAAAAAAAATGTAGAATACTATTCATTTCCCGTTTTTTTTTAAAGAATAAAACAATAAAGGGAAATATTTCTGCGGTGGCGAGTGACCGGCAACGGAAATTTAGTACCGCCGCACGTGACTACTGACACAAAAATGTGGGCGCTTGCTGATGAACGATCCCAGGGACTTGGCCAGCATTCCATGCTTTTCTCGTGGGTCATTTATTACCCGATCCGAGGGTCATTATAGGACTGAGAAATTTAGAAATGGGATTAGGAATCACTGACAGCAACTGAATTAATGCAGCAGACCACACGACGTGCTTGTGTATACTGTATATTTCCGGCATGTTCTCATTATGCTTCAAAAATCTGAACTCCACTTCTGAAGATATGCAAAAAATGGGCTATAGTGCACAACCAACTTGAGTCTCGGGATTTTACTCTTCTACAACTCTTTTTTTAGGAGGCAGAACACCCTTTTGAATCGAAATCAGGAAAAAATAAAATAAAAATCAGATTATGCAAAAATCGCATCTCCCGAATGAAATTCAAGCAAAATCGAGCAGAAATTATCCCTTCAGCTCACGGATAAATACAATATAGTCGATACGGTAGCTTTTCATTTTATTTCATCGCTTCTTCATTCATTTGTTCAACAAAACGCAATAGTAATGTGATGTTGCCGAAGCAATATTTATCGAAAGACGCCATTGTTTAGAAATGCAAGGTCAAATCAAACTGGCAATCAAATCGACGCCATAAATGTCGGTTAACTGGTCAACGCGGCCAAGATTTACATGCATTTTGCGGCACAAAAGCTATATCCCCTCTTGACATCAGAACCGCGGATTAAATGAGACTTTAGTGGTGCCAATTTATGGCGTGTCCTGCATTCTCTTTTGCGGCAGAAAGCGAAAGCTGACTTCAGAAGTGTACTCTCAGCTCCAGCACAATGGGGAATTCTCAGCTTAAAATTCAACAGAAAAATCTGAAATATTTAAAAAAAAAAGCAAGAGCTAAATTTCTTAAACGTTGAAAACTCGTCGAATTTCATCAATTTTAACTTCAACCGTTACACCAGCAAAAGAGACTTCAATTCTTGATGTTCGATGAGATCGTGCCTCCACAAAAACACAAAAAAAAAACTCGCCGATATTTTGAGGTCATCGTCAAAACGACTGGACATGGCGATGACATGGACGTCTTGGATGGAAGATATAAAAAAAAATAAAAATAAACGCAGAAAATGTGAAATCTGGGTGAAGGTTCGCGGGAAATCATGATTTGAAGCCAGACGGTGGCTTGTCCGGATTTCTCACGACCCACGCGCGGAAAGTTTCGAGGAATAATCACGAGGTCCGTTATTCATCATAAATCGCAGACTCCAATCAAGCCGAACAGCTTTCTCGGCGCCGTGCTGAATAATCCATGCGGGATTTACTCCGCTGAAATCTCACGAGTGACACGAGCAAAACGAAAATGAGGAAACACGGATGCCATCAAAAAGTTCCTCTGGAAATTTCCCCAACACTTGAAAAGAATTGAATACGCGGAAGATGGTCTTTAAGCGATGTTATTAAACGGACTTGATAGTGATTACAGCATTTTCTTTAGTACAGTACAACGCGTGCCTTTTTCTCATAAAACTTGAGAGGAAAAAAAAGGGCTGCGCTTCTTAGGCGATACATTAAACAAACAAAAAAGCTTCAGAAATTTAGGCGCGCATTACACTTGATTTTCATGAGGAATTTTGGACCACGTTCAACAGAAAAAGCCTGATTTAATGTAAAAAAAAATTGAAAATTATTGGAATTTATGTTTAATTCTCGCCTAAATTCAAATTTTTTCTCATTTTGAAATATCGCGGGGATTTAAGGACACTAAAAATTGGGTGAACTTTTACTCAGAGGGATACGATTTTAGCAAAATTTTCAGCCGAAAAACCCCAGTGCGCGTCTTATACACCTTGTACTCGAAGAAACACGGAGTAATTTATCAGCTTATTATGTCGGAGGATCGAGGTACAGTACAGTAAATGCCTCGTAAAATACATAAATCCGTTTCTGAAAGCTCGCAAAAATTGGAAGCAAAAACAGCATTCCTTCGAAAGCGCACGTGAGAAAAATTGCAATGCAGTGACGTTAATCCGTGTACAGTGGGAATAAATGTTGATCAGTCGGTCGGTACACCAAATAAATAACATGCTAGAAGATAATATATGTACAGTACTGAAAGGTTCGAATGATCCTGGTATGTTGGTTTAGCTCCTGACATTTCATAACGGGATGTTTTACCGAGTTGACCTCTTTTATCTCTAGCTTCCTTCTTTTGTACGGCCCAGGACCACAGATTGTGTCCTTGACCCACACAGAGGAGCATGCCAATTTTATCGCTTCAAAGTTCATTGAAGCATTGGTCTCTAAACGTTGAAAAGTGTCAATGTCTGCTCAGAAATATATTCAAAATTAAATATTTTTAAGAGGTGCGTGCTTCAACGAAGATCGGGATATTGTGAGGAAATCAGTCCCACAAAAATCTGATCCACGGACAGAGTATACGGCCATTTTTTTTTAGTGAAACGGAATTATTGTGTTGATTATGATAACTGAGAAACAAGCAAGCACTTTCGGTGAAAATGAAATATTATCGCTGTGTATCAAATTTGATACGCTGTCAAAAATAGACCATGTTCTTAACCCATTTTCTGCGATAAAAATTTGTTTTAAATTCACGTGAACCGTAAAAAGCGACAATACCGCTTGGATCACAACAAAATAATGTCATAAAGAAATATTGCTTTAGGCAACCTATAGTGCAGTGAGATTACCCCTTGCAGAAATGTTCCTACCCATTCGATTGCGATCCAGCGGCTTGAATAGATGTCACTAGCAGCCCCAAATTGATAGAAAAAAATGGCGAATTTGATCATACAATCTATAAAGAGTTTCAAATGACTGGTTTCTATGTTTGTATGTAAGAATACATACAATTCTGAGAGATAAGGGTCCCTTCCGCAGAGAAGGTAATTTTTATCACGGAAAAGATCTCAAATTGCTTACGATTTCCATCTACTGTATTTTACTTACGATTGATTATTGTACTTACCATTCTGCGATTGATTTCGAGAGTCAGGGTTGATATAGTTAGTCGATAAAGGGCACGAATAAATAATCCCTCATTTCACTAAATTGAATTGAATTGCATGAGTTGAAAATTCAATATGCTAGATTTTCTTTCTACATCAGTCAATGGTGGATCACTAATCCAGGGTTTGATTCAGGAGAAACATCACGACATTCCAGGACAACAGCGGAGCCACATTTGAACTCTTGACTCAATGTAATTTTAAATTTCAGGCAGCCTATATTGAAAATTCAATTTATATATTCTTTCTACGATGAATTATAAAGGTTCAAAAATTGCAGTGCTTGCATTAGAATCATCAGGACATCCCAAGACGATAGCGGAACATCATATTTGGACACATTCAAATGAATACAGCAAACACCTTCCGGTCTGGATAAAAAAAAATTGAATCAAAACTCGGTTCGAAACGCAATATACACATACATCCGAACGTTGCTTTAGAATCATGTAGACAATGTACCTAAGGTCCTTCATGTGACGGATAAATAAGATGGAAAAAAACACACAAGTCGAATGAATGATGGTGTTCAGTGTGAAGTACAATATTCCAGCGAGGGAACAACCCTTTTTTGACCAACTCCGCGGAACAATGGAAAAGCCCAAGGGCTTCGTGTCGAACAACGTGTAATATGGCGAGTCAAGCACTCGGTGTTGTGGGTTTCAGCTGGATTCGAGGGTGCCACAAACACGGGATCACCGACATATATACACGCCTGTCAACCCACGACCTTCCTTATGCAATGACACTCAGGAAGCGTCACATAAAGGTCATATTTCCTCGGGTGTCCGGGGAATATCACAAGACCACGTGTCATCGAGAATGGAAAAAGAAAACCTCAGGTCACTTCTGAGCTACACATGGTGTTTTCAAAGAAGCCCCCCCCCCTCTCACTGCATATGAATTACAAGGCTAGGAATATGACGGAACCTATTTTTGACGAGGAAGACAAGCGCGACAAAAGAAGTCTGAATTTTTGAAATTACGAATACGATGATGAGTTTGAAATAGAACCATCGACAAACATCCTCGCCGGTTTTTCTAGAGTAGTATAGACCAATTTAAAGAAATTCTCAAAGCTGATAATCTGCAAAAAAAATAAATTATCTCATAAGGAAAAAAAATACTTTTGAACGTCGCGAAGCTGTTTTTACATTTATACAATCAAATGAATGGATTGTTGACGCTCGCAAAGTTTCAAATTCCGAGAACATTTTCTCTGTAGGTCTTCTGGAGAGAAATTTAGAAAAATCTCATAAATCGCCCCCTGACACGAAACGGACTAGTTTTGTCACAGCCTTTCATCAACAGCAATTTTTTCCGCCGAGTCAGAATACTGCTGACAATTGGTTAGCCGTTGCTTGATAAAAACAATCAAAGGAAAGAAAAACACGAAAATAGCTACGAAAACAATTTTTAATTTTTTCTGTACGCATAATTCTTTAAGCTGGAATGAAAATGAGGGTTTAAGTCAATGGTGCCATTCGAAGTAACTCGAGGAAAAAACTAAAATGCATTTATCGTGGAAACGGATCTGAAAAAAATGGGAGTAAAATTCCCAAATGACTAGCTCCCTCCGCGAATTTTCGGGCGCCAACTTTTTTTCCACTGTTAACGATTGAAAAATAGATTTTCGAACCCTAGTATTTTTTTAAAGCACGAAATAACTGCCAATGATTTTTTTTTTACACCCAAAAAAGCAATAACAATTCCAAAAGAGTAAGACCCACCTCGGAGACTTTTTCAGCAGGGATTTGATGAAATCCTGGGCATCCTTTGAGATGTGAGCAAACAATTCCTCAGGGAAGTCCAGCTGTGCCTGGGTGATGTTCAGCAGAGTTTCTTGATCAGTTTCACCACCGAAAGGGCTGCATCCCGTGAGGAGAACGTAAGTCAAGACACCAACAGACCTGATCGAGAGAAAAAAAAACAACAACAAGAGAAATAAGAAATCAAAACAAAAAAAGAAGGAATTTAAAAAAAAATGGTACTTGGTTTCTCGAAACGGTCCGTAAATTTAAAGAACGTCATGTTCGGCATTGAAAACAACCGAAGGCTCGGAAGTTAAAGCGTAGTCGTAAAATTTTCAACTCCCATTTCCTTTTGCATTTCTTGAACATGCATCACAATACAAATCTGATTTATGCACAACAATTTTATGAACGCATGCGAGAATTTATATACTTGAAAATTTACTTTCAAACTCGCGAGTTCTTCTTTCATGAGAATGCTGAAATGATCGTACATTGAACGATAATCGAAGAACCGAATAAAAAGATTACAAATCGCTACGCAGAAAATATCGTTGTGCAGGACCTGCTGATACATTTGATTGAAGGCAAGCTAGACCAAAGAAATATCGTTTTAGAATATGGCTGCATATTAAGAGTCCACCTGTATTTATATTTATTTGATTTACGCACACCTTGAAAAAGTCGGATATTCCGTCAATCGTGTTCCAGAATAGAACAGACTTTTGCCTGATATTCATCAGATGAACGTAATACAAATAATAAAAAAGCGAGTGACTTGTTTTGGCAAGAAAATAAAAAAGCGCTTTGCGAATTACTGAACGCTTATTTTGAACAAAGGTTTGGATGATCAAACATTTTTTGAACGAATATTTATTTCTATAGGGATTTCAGTTTAAGATAGTTCAGTATGAGGTTAGGTGAGTTCGGCCAAATAGACAGTGATACTTAATTTTTTTTATATCTTTGCTCCCAAGATTTTGATCTTGATCGAACTTTGATTGGTGAGCAATGAAAGGGCAATACAATATTTTTCGAATTGACAAAGGCTCATTATTATTATCTTCGTCAATTTTTTTTGGTGGAGGGCCGGTTGCTCAACAACCAATTTCTTCCACAACGAGGTTCTCTTTCAGCTACTCAAGTAGTCACCGATATGTTTCATGAAATGCGTCGGTAAGAAATTCGAAGCAGCGAATTTATAGCACGCTCAGTTTGAAATGCAGACGTCAAAATTCGCGAACCTTGTATACGAAAAATAAATGCTAATCTCAGAAACATAATTCGACCTGCCCAGTCAATCACGTCTTCAACCCTATCAAGCTTGACGAAGAAATGATCATTTCTGGCCAACCCCATGAGTGTGTGTGTGTAATCGCTGTTTGCAAGATTGGAACCCCGGGCTGGCATGAATCTGGCCGTGAGCAGGTCACACTACGAAATGAGTGATAGCTTGGGGCTGCCGAGTCGTGGTTATGCTATTTATTTGACTGACTCGTCCGTGTTTTTTCCCTCCTCCTTCCGACCGCGAGATTTTTTATTTTTATTTTTTTTTGATTTTTTTTTTTGGTTTTCCCACCCCATCTTTTTCGTCCGTGTTTACAAGCATCCTTAAGGCTCGCGGGATCCTGCTGCGCATTTTTCACGGGCTCTCCTCCACGGAAAGGATGATTTATCCGAAAAACAAGCCCTGTTTATCTGGTCAGCTCATTCTTCTGGCATTCGATCGATGATTCACGCGACTGGCTCGTTTTCCCTTTCTATGGACGGGTTCTGGAAAGGATTGTTGCTTCATCGAGCTAACGTTTTAAAACCTGGTCTACGATTGAAAGAACATTATTTCCCAATGAGATACATTTGATCGCTAAGATGCTAGATAAGTCCTCTATAGTCTGGTTTGCTCATTCTTCTGACATTCAATGGATGAGGATGATTCACGCGACTGAATAACTTGCTTTCTCTTTCCATGTAGTAATGAGTTCTGGAAAGAACTGTTACTTTTTCAAGCATAGGTTTTAAAACCTGAACTACTTGACTAAAAAAAAAACACACAGATTCATTCACAGAGAGATAAATTTGTTTGCAAAGATGCTAGCAAAGTTTTCATAACCGGGCAGCAAATTCTTCTGACATTGAACTGATGATGCATGCGACTAAATGATTTTGCTTTATCTTTCTAGGAAGTAACAAGTTTGGAAAAACATTTGTACATTACCGAGCATGTGTCTTAAACCCTGGCCTATACTTAATTGATGGAACTTTTTTTCTACATTAAGAGACATTTTACTGAAACGATGCTTCAGAAGTTTTCAAAATGATTTCCAAGAAAATATGATTTTGAAAAGGCAGTGAAAATGGCAGCCCGTTGTGAAAAATCGTTGCTGTGCAATTACATGTTGAATTATTTTATTCAAGCGTGCTGCTTTCATCACGGCTGACGGAAAATGACGTTTCACACGCACGTAAATGCAAAGAGCAATTCAAAGACGATTTCTTGAGAATTAACAAAAGGAATAATGAAAGAAAAAAATGACACGGAAGAAGAAACTTCCTCCGATTGCACACGATTCTTTGAAAATGATATTTACAGAAGATAATAGGTCAAATTGAGAGACGAGATCGATTATTAGGAGCATGCGCATGTTGGAAACGAAAGATGCTTCTGCAAAACAGTCTTTGTAGTACCAATATAGTATTTGAATCATGGGTGCTGCACTAAACATCGGTTTAAAAGTCGAAATGCGATGGTTTGCCTTTCGAAAATTGAAAATACAACTATTTTCGACGAATCACTGCTGATGACAGTCACTAAAGTTAGAGAAACGTAAATCTGACTTCGTTCTTCGTATTCAATATTTCCATAGTTTAATAATCTGAAAACACCTGATGAAATATTAAAAACCTTACAGAAGAAAAACTGGAATGGACTTCGTCAGCATCACTGAAATATAACGAAGGTGAGCTACGGAATGATCATGAATCTTGGCACAAGACGGAACGAGTATAAAAAATTGAAAAACATTATGATAGGCAGCATTGCCAGTAGAAAAATTTGAAGAATCCTCGAAAAATTAAAAGCGAATAAGAATTTGTTTGCTTTAAAAATGCGTCTGACAATCTAATTAGCACATTACGCATTTTTCACAAGCCTGATGCTTTCTTATCAGCCAAACTGACGAATAAGATTTTTATTTATATTCGAGCAAGCGTTTCGATGTTATATAATCAGTTCACGTTCACAATATTTTTTGCAGGGGCGTGTCGCTGGATGCGGTGAAATGGCTTCTGCATGAATTAACATGAAAACTGTATAAACAGAATTGTGGTTCTAAAACAGCACACCTTCAGAGCAACTCATTCTTCTTTCGCTTATCAAATTGGTCTAACCCCGTCCCGTCGTACCTGCATTGGCAGTGCTAATCAGGAGGAATACTGTATATCTTTATACAGAGGCATCGGAAGAAACATTTAGGGGAAGCACACAGCTGGAAACTCGATGGAAAAATCATCGCAAGGAGTATTTCACTGCACTGTAAATAAAATTGTTGCGGAGAGTTGTCCTTGCTGGGAGAATCTTCCGTGGTTCGCGGTTGCGTTTCAGTCATATATAAATGCAAATACATGCACGATACAGGAAAAATTATTTTCCCATCATATGAAATTGCTGACTAGAATGAAGATTGAATTCAAGGTTTTCCAACGATTCTTCTTTCTAGTGCTGATGCGAGTAGGTGACAGCGATTTTTTTCTTTCTTTTCAATCAACGAAAGCTTGCGAGGAGACGACGTATCCTTGCAGAGTAACCTCCACCTCGCTTGTCCACTATACAGTGATTCATCTTTTCATCACGGTCTTCAAACGAAATACAGTATTTTAACTGCAGCGAAGGACCGACAAGAAAGATTTATTAGTGGTCGAATTATTCAATGAAAATGCTCTCGTGATTCCATGCAGAAATTTACAATCTCTGATCCGAAGAGGAAATTTCATTCGGCAGTGAAATTTTGCACAATATATAACTCAAACGCTGCAACAGGACAGTGGTGAATATTTCATCGAGCAAGATGAAAAAGATAATCGTCCTTGAAACCGTCATGCCTTGCGTTGCATCGATAAAATAACTTCAACGTCATCCGTTGCAGAGAGGGAGAGAGAGAGAAAAAAAAGACCCTGTTTAACCATTTGATTAATTAAAACTGCAGCGGAATTGCGTCACATGTTCGCCCCCAAGAGCAGACCAGAAAGATGATGGAAAAAAAACTTAAACACTCGGGACGTGTTGTGACTTACAAGCTCAAGTGTCTGCAAGCTGACACAGAGTTGTGAATTGCGCTTAATTAGCACCCTGGGAGCCCAAGAATTCCAATGCCATCATCTGCTGAGGTCAGATGGAGGGTGGAAAAATACCAAGGGAAATAAGGTATTTCCCCCCCGACACATTTTCGATTCGTGACGCAAGCAAAACGCACAAAAGAATGGAATGTTTTCGTTGACGACGCACTTGTCGCCGAGCGCAATATTACCTTAAAAATTATGCTCCAGCGGTTATTCTAAAAAATATTATTCTTCGAAAATGTTTCCAGGATGGCGAGGAAAGAAAGAAAGCTACAGTACTGTACCTGTATTACATAAATTACCTATGCTAATTCCATGATGGTAGAATTCAGCTTGCAGGTTCCAAGTACGCACGTCCTTGGCACGGGAAAAATCTGCCAAGTTTTTTTTGTTCGGTTACAGAATGTCACTAAAATCGCATATTAAATACTAGAGCAAAAATTCAAAATCAAATAGAATGCACTTTCCAAAGAAAATGTTCAGCGTGATGCAAAGGCAAAGTAATCCACCCAAAAGGACAATCTGGTTTTTTGATGTTGCAATCTGCAGGAAATTTTTATTATCAACAGTCTTCAAGCCTCACGTCTGTCGTGTTGACATATGAATAAAATAAGAAAGAACGATCCTGTGGAGGCATTCATTTGTACGTAGAATTCAAAAATTAATTGCTTAATTGTCATCATTATAGGTACAGTAATATATGAGTACAGTAATCTCTTCTCAGACAATATACTAGACTTATTCTGAAAATCCTGGTAGAAGAGTAAAAAATTTGACAAGTGTGCATAAATTTCAGGATTCGTCAGCCTGCCATTCCTTAAGCGGAAAAAAATTATTGGAGATACAGTAATTCGGCTTTTCTTTTTAACTCAGTCAGTTGCGTCATGGACAAGAGTTTCTAATTTCACAGTTGTCACTGGAAAAAATAAGTTTGACAATAAGACAGATATATTTTTTCTCATAAATGCGTTTTTCTCCACGTCCGTTAATACACGATCATTAAGTAGGCGACGGTTTCAGAAAAGAGAGCTGATATTCAAAGTTCGAACTCAAAAGTTCCATTCAATTTTTCGTATACGGTTTTCAAATCTATTGTGCCCATGGGACGCAATCTAAGTGAAATGGTGAAATCGGTAGAAGAATATTTTCATAGTTATTCACGTGAAAATTTTCAGGAAATGACCTCTAAACCAGAATATTAATCCCGAACACCAATTTTAAAATAAGATTGCCAATCGGGATGGATCATGAATTTCAGATAATGAGGAATCATCAACGATGCATTTCTGATCATACCCGTATACTTGGTGGGAATTCCTTCGCCGAAATGCTGCCCACAAAATTCAATAAAAACGGGGAAATTTTAATTAAATGTTAGAGAATTCTTACCTCATTTTTCCATCCT